TTCCTCTCATCTGAGATCAGCTAGGGCGAGAGTTCCGTGAATCCCCCAATAGGCAGGGACAGCTCTACGCCCCTGCCCAGCAGGAAGCAGATACAGAAGAAGAGACCTCCTGTCCCTCAGCTTCCCATAGAGAGTTAATGGGGATCACTTCTCTCAAAGGGAAAACTAGGCAGGCAGTTAGAGGCAGGCATTGTGTCTCTGCATTCCTACATGTCCCACAAATGCCCATCAAATGACCTCCCCTTTCCATCCAAAACTCCCCTTTGTATTGTAATTATCTACCCCTGTGGGAAAGCAAATGGGTACAAAATACCCAACTAGATAAGACCAGTTACTCGCACCTGGCAGTACCTCTTGTCAATCACAGGTGCCAATCAAGTGGTCCCACGTCCAAAGGGGAACAGCCCATTCTAGAGAAAAGGGGATAAAAATTCCAAGTCCTGGGCAGTCCACCCTTTCCTTTTTGACGTCTCCCTTTTTTCCTCCCTTTTTTTTTGGAGTCCCCTCCTTGCTCCCTTTTTGAGCCTTTTTTGAGCCTTGCCTTTGCGTGTGGCCCACTCCAAACTCTTTGCAATGTAATTTCTCTTCTAATAATGGGCCCTTGAGCCATTCTCTACTGCTTGGGCTTACTTCTACTTCTTTGAAATGTACTATCTCATCTAATAAACTGCTTTTTCACTACTTTGCTCCGGTATCTTGTTCAATTCTTTGCTCGGGTTGCCAAGGACCTGGACTTCGCGCCGAGAAGGGCCCACTCTCTGACAACACTTCTGTTAGGAAAACCAAAGAAAACCAGACTAGGATGTCAAAATATCAAGGGTATTAATTGAAGCTCATCAAAATAATTCACCATAGTTTTCTGTCATTTTTTTTCCCTCCACATTAACAGAACTGACCTAAGAGGTAGAACATAGAGCCCCAAAGAACCTCCCTAAAGAGCACTCCTACTTTGGGTCCTATTTTCAATATTTAATACAAAACTTGACTCTCACACCTTCACCAATTCTGACTAAGGAGAGCGAGTGAGCTAGCTGCTTGCTTGGGCCACGTGGTCGGAGATGACAGCCTATCCTTTAGTTGACACCTTATAAGATATTTGACAGAGAGATCTTGAACTAAGGTTAGCATGACTTCATCTCAGTCCTGCCAGGTCATCCGCTCTGTCCTCCTTCCTTCTTCCTCTCTGCTATGCCTCATCCATCCTTGGCCCGATGTTGGAACTAACACCATAGGGCAAAGGGCACAACACACAAGGGTAACGAGATTTGCCTCTCTATGCGGTATTCAAATAAGTAGTTGTTTGTTGCCATAATGCTAGTTCAACCTGAGTTTCCCTGGTTGCTCTATTTACTAGATCTACATACACACATTACATTTCTTAATTAACTTATTTATTGGTATGCTTCAGTCACCTCCTGGCAGACTTCAGTTTTTTTAGATTCAGGAGCTGAGGAAGATGGAAATACTGGCTACTCCCTGAAGGTCCTAAGTGCAGGTGCAAAGAAACATTTACCAAATGGTCTTTAAATGGCAAGTCTGAGACAGGGGAGTTTTCCTTCTGGATGGCCCAGGTCTTTGGAAAATTAAACTTAAAAAAAATGATATTCTGAAATTTTAAGATGTGAGTTTTTTCCTACTGTCCTATTGTGGTTCTTTGAGGCTGAGGTCCACATGGCACATGCACCTCAATCCCTCAGCCCATAGGCTTTTAAGTCTCTTAGCATGTGGGGGCTTAAGGTTGCATTCTGGAAGGAAGCAGGATGTTTTGGCATGAGGTTGGCTGAAAGCGGAGGGAGAGGGCATGCTGGTGAGCCGGCTTTTGAGTCCAGGCTTCTGAGCAGGTGAGCTAGCTTGGAAGCTGGTGAGAGAAGGGTCCCATGCCCCTCACACTAGCCAGCCCCAGCAGCAGCGAAGGGCAGGGAGGGAACGACCTGGAGAAGGATGGGGCTTATTGGGAGTGAATAGAATGGGAGTCTCCCTGACCTCCAAGCGGAGAGAGGGAACTGCTCCTGGTCAAATCGAGGAGGAGAGGGAATTTAATGGCTGTTTTCTTCAATTGCATTGGGACACACCTTTTTTAAAGCTTTCACTTATTGAGCAATAAACACGGACCAGGAACATTGCCCAAAACTTTACATACTTGAGATCATTGTCCTCAGAACAGTCATATGGGACACATATAATTAGGACCCCTACCCCCAAGATTACCGTATTTCCCCAGGTATAAGATGCACCCTTTCTCAAAAAATTTGGGGTCTAAAAACTGGGTGCGTCTTATACAGTGGTTGTAGAATTTTTAATTGCATTTCCCGCTGAGGACGAGGCAATATATGAAGACAGTGAATCGTCATCAGACACAGGTGAGGACAAGCTAATGGTTGGGAGTTTTGACAGTGATGAGGAGTTGTATGAATTTTATGATGAATAAAACTTGAGTTCAATAACTTTATGTAATATA